GAGTTGGGATAACCTCCAAAACCAAAGGCGATACCTTTTTAAAAATTAAAAATTTATGAACAATCCTAACTCACCATACACAGTAACACTGAAGCTCTTCAATGAGGTTTTTCCACTGATGACGGTCAGTTCATAAAGTCCAGTGTGTTCAGATCTGATGTTTCTGATGGTCAGAGATCCAGTTTGATTGTCCATCAGTAGTTTGTCTCTGAATCTCCCATCATTACTGACAAAAATAAAGTTTATTTGGTCCCTTTTAATGATTTCAGCTATTCGAGTGTTTTGAGGTCCAAACGTCCACAGTATCTGATCATCTCTCTGTACTTTAACATCGGTGTGTAAAGTGACAGAATCTCCCTCCAGCACTGATACTGACTTCACTTCATCTGTCACAACAGCAATCACACCTGAAACAAAGTTTTTTTCCCCCAGAAAAACTAAAGTTGTTCAACGCAAATTAATAGTATGGAATGAATTGAACTAATCATGTCACATTTATCTGAATTCAGTCAAAGCTAAATTAAAATGAAATCACTTACAGTTTGTGACAAACACAAGTAGACAGAAAACAGCAGGATTTGACATCACATTCTTTAAAATGTGTCCGAAACGATGAACAACAGAGATTCAAGAAATAATCTATATTTTCTTCCGATGACTTGATGAGTCCTAAATGCATGAACACACTGCTCACAAATACAGCGTTTGAGTCCAGACCCCATAAACTCTGCCTAAAAAAAGCAGACCACAGCAGATCTCACTGAAACAGTCAAACTGAGCTGCCAGTGTGTCAGAGGGTATGAAGAGCCTCAAACAAACTGATAACAGATGCTATTTCCTAAACTGTTTTGCAAGCAGGAGAGTATATACATTTTCTGACTTTCAGAGGTTTTATTTCTCTTACTACAATATTACATATATTATTTTCATATACCATAATCTCTCACTTAATGCTTCCTCATAATATCTCACTTACAAACCACATACTGTGAAACCAACAGACGTTAACAGAGAAACATAGTCCAATCACATGACTCAAAATAATGTCTGATTCTGAAATTATATACAGTCATATATATATATATATATATATATATACATAAAAAAAAAAACA